GGACGAGATGTAATAACCTTAGAGCCGCGAAATCCGGCGACTTAACGGCAAAATGCGGAGTATTAAAAAAATTTTGCGGCTCTGCGCGAAATTTTCAGCAGGCATTGATCAATTGAGAAGGGCAAATATTTACCGTGCAAATATTTATCAGGAATATCTGCAAGCTGAATATCCTCGGGTTTTTCAACCACGTCTTTTTCGCGCTTTCGGGAATGTCGTGCGATTTTCAGAAGAAAATTAACGTTGCTTAGGTCACGGCTGATGGCCTTAGAATGGATGGAGTTGGCTGGCTAAAATATACAAACCACATTATTCCAGCTCAGGTTCTTGATATCTTTAATTTTCGAACATGGATAAAACCGGCAGGCATCGAACTACTAATATGACCATGAATCGACTGTATTGCTGCTTCAATGAATGGTTTTCCAAATTTATACGCTGTAATCAACTCTTCAGATTTGGAGCGGAAATCACAATTTCTATCAAGGAACATCACTGTCAGTAAGGTTCATTCAAATTTGGATTGTTTTGGAAATAAATAACCGTGATTTACCGGTGCTATAACTAATTATTCTGAAAGATCTTGAGTCGACAGCCCATGAAATTTGTTCTGATAATTTGTTTGGATGCATGAATAGTTAGAATGTTCACTTATCAATGAAAATAATGGGAATATGCAAATTGATAAATGGCAAATTGTTTCAATAGAATTTCAAAATTTATTTATATTGTTGTTTGAAAATATTTCTTTCATAAGCAACTCTTTGCAGACCTTCTGAATTATTAGTCTGAGCGTCCAAGTAATGTCATCTGAAACGAAACACATATAGTGTAAAATAATGGGTTTTATTGAAAATTACACAGAGTTATGAAATAAGTACAATTTTAAGGGAATTTTTATTTTTGTACGTAAAATCTAGTGAGCTTTCATTAATAATTCTCAGATGTCAATAATTTAAATAGGTGAAGTGATCGGTTACGAAATTTGAAAGTGAACTCTACCTCCAAGCCCACTAAAACGAAATTCAAACAGTTAAATTTGACTTGAGTCAGTTCTCTACGAAGTTAAGGCGAGCTGCGTCTCTCGACAAAATAAAATGTGATTTAACCAAAGTTTGTATTTTTCTTTTGCCCTCACATCTTCTCCTCCAAATTTCCCATCGCATTTTAAATTCTTGTATAGTGTTGAGTGTTGCAATATTTAAAATTATAAATTTAAAACGTAAAATGAGTCTTTTGATATTAACATCCATTATCCATGTATAATTTTATTAAAGAACAAGATTCATAGATTTTAACATTTATATTTAAAATATTAGCTATGCAAGTAAGAAAGCTTTCATTTTATATCTTAATTTCAGGACTTACCTATGACAAAACATTATTATGTACTGTTAGGTATATTTGCCTGGAAACATAAATGGCATTCAAAACTTCTTCTTTATACCGTTGATGATATTTTTCGGAATTTTATTCCACAATATTATAAAGTTCAGACGTGTTTTGTACTCTATTTTGGTCTCCTTGTTATTATTAATTCAGCGTGTATATCTCCACTAGCCACGAAGAACATTATTGTTTCATGCAGAACATTATTTCAATAACAGACTCATAAACTTAAAATATGTTTTCAATTACAAAAGTGGAAAATGTAGTCAATAACTTTAATTTTTTCATATTTTTACGATTGCAATAGGTAATTTTTCGAAACATGATCTTGTTCCCAGATGTTGACGATCGACAAACTCTACAACGAGACCACCGATATGATGTTGATGTGGGATGACGTCACGCAAAAAGTTGCCAGCGACGTAAAACTTATCTGTCCAGAATTTGCTCAAGACGTCACTTCCCTGGCTACGAAAATCGTCCACTTAAAAACTCCTTTAGGGGTAAATCGGCCCAAGAAGCTCATGGCAGAAACAGCGAACTATATTGTCAACTTTTTCCACCATTTCGCCGAACACGTTAAAGATAAGTTCGAAGAATTTAAAGAGTTCGGAAAAGAAACTGTTGAGAAGGTAAAGGAAGCTGCTCATTCAGCGGAATATAAAGTTTATGACTGGATGATGGATGCATCTGAAACTATGGAGAACTGTAAGTAATAAATTAAAGTATGCAGATGAATTCTTTTACAGCGCATGAATATGTACTGAAAGATTTTAATAGTGGAATGAAGTGATTTTGTGCATTACATACAATTAAGCGTGCTATACCTTTAGTGATAACTTATTATAAGTAAATATAACTTTTGTTGACGAAACATGAATTCTTACGAATTTTCAAAAGAAAAAATATGTATATCTAAAATTTTCAGGATATTTACAAACAGGGACAAAAGTATTAAAAAATTAAAACGAAAATGGTTCAAGATTAGAGAGAGTTGTTTATTTGCCAATATTGTAGAGTTACTAAAACATTTGTAGTAAATTCCGTAGATTACTCGTTGGTGACCCTAATGAGAAACCGATGTTCCACATAAGCCCAACATTTCCATCATATATTCCAGGGTTTCACCACAACCATGCAACAAACATGCCCGGATCAATACTCTCATTCTTCGACCAACTTGGCCTAAGAAAATCCTTACAAACGTTCTGCCGCCATGCACCCTCCATATGTCACTACCTGAGTGACTCATCTGTGTTCAACTTCCCTCAACTGAACGAAGACGTGCGCGAGTATGTCAACATTTTAGCACACGACCATCACGTACGAGAAGTGCGAAACGAGTTACTCCGTTATTTGCAACTGGTGAGCCATGCAAGAATAATTCCCTTCCTACATTTGCTTTACTTTAGAAATATCAAATATCAATCAAAAAGAGATATATGATGACAAACTAATTTTGAATCAATAAGTTTAAGAAATTTTATTAGTCAAACGAGTCAACACTAGTTGAATAACTTGTCGCAGCAGGGCTACCTAATGGTAGCTCATTCTAAACATGTTAGGGAATGCGAAGACAAAATTTCAATTTTACGATCGAAGTATATTTATAGCAAGCGATCATTCAAATAAATTTTATGTTTAGGTTCATAAAGATAGTTAAGCCTGAAAATTATTGAAAGGCTGTGTGCAATCGATGATGTTAAATTTGTCGTAAAGAACCTCAACCTCATTGATGCGAATAAAAAATAACTCATCGAAATTAGCCTTGCCGTATGCAACCAAATTACGATGGAATAAATTCCGCAAAATAACAGTTTTTTACCATTTTTCCATCAAAAATGTTAATGCTTTTAGAGAATAGTATTATTTTTGAGAAACATTATTTAAGCCAAATGTCGAAGAGAAAGGAAAAATCAGAGAGTACTGCTAAAGAGGGAGATCAATACTTGTCTATACAAATTAAAGCAATGTATTTGCGAAGTGAAACTTGGAGTGTGATTAACGTTGGCAAGATTAAACATTGATTAGATGCCAAGTACGAGTATAATTAACATTTACTAAATATGCACTCCATTTGAAGCAATGGTAAGCTGGAGACGCTTTGAAAACCACCTACAAAAGTCACTGTAACCGCATTTTGGATCATTTAAATCCTTGGAAATATCATAATGCAAAGGCAGGAAATACGTGAATGCATCCATATCTGTACAATAAATATTGTGGGTAAGTAAATTAGATTTAACTGCATTTAATAGCTAAACAAAACCTACTCGTTTGTTTGCATATGTAACCGAAGTTGAAGCAATTCTGATTACATTTTAAAAAGTGTGAAGATTATATGATCAAGTTTCATTAGTTATATTACACTAGAAGAAACACAAAATATTACGTTTAAAACTAATTGTATTGATGAATTTTGACCACCTTATGTAATTATTGGCATCCAAGTCTGATGATGGCAGACAGTGTGGAAGCCGTATTGTTATGGCAGCCACATTATTAACTTTTATTTATTAAATTTCATTCTGTGTCAAACTAAGGAATTCTTTTCCATTTAAAGGCAATTCGAGTCACTAGACCACATTATTATTTTTTGGTTGGTTGTACTGTAGTTTTTTTACTTAAAATAAATTTTCTGAACTAAAAATTTTCATCGTCTAATTCAATGATGTCAACATTTCAAAATTGAGTTAATGATACGGAGAAAGCTATTTTCCAGGTTCGAAGAACCATTCCCACCTTTTTGGGGGGATCATGCTTGATCTAATTCACATTGAATTTATTTTAAATACTTAGTTCTGCACGCAGTATTTAATCAAAACACTATCGAATTTTCGCACTAAACGTGCCACGCACAGATGCTGTTAATTTATCTTAGAAGCTTGAACAGCAATCGCATTTTATTTTAACGTCAGAAGCGCTTGAAAATTTTCAAGACGGTCGTTTTGCAGAGTTATGATACGGAACAATGAATTAAATAAATCTTAGATTATATACCTATAACTATATTGTATAAACTAATGTTGATTTATCCGTAACAGATTCAGGAAGACAACTACGCTGCGGCCGTGATGTCCGCAATGTCTGCGCTGTCGATGCGCCTGGTAGGCGTACACGTGGGGAACAATTCTATACAAGTCGACCTCCCTTTGCGCCTGCCATCCGCATCGCTGAGCGTCGTCCCGTCCAACATCGGCTTGGACTCCTCGGCAAGCCTACCGAAGCTGCTCTATTCTCAACAATTTTCCAACGTTGGTCCTGAAAACTATACAATTTCAATAACTCGAGAGAATTTTACGACTGTTTACGGAGTAGACGTGGTTCTGCCCAAGTCAAAATGTGAGTATGTGTTGAGTAAACACAAATATAACAGTGGAGCGATAACGAGCTACAGGGTGACACAAAAAAAACAGAGCTCACTAAAAGTCTTATAACTCCTGAAATTTTATTCAGTTTGAAACAAAAATTCTATGGAATTATNTAGCAGGATATTACATTAATTTTTGTTAGTCTCGACGTTCAGGATGTAAGTCATTTCTATACATGAGCATGCCATCAAAGTGCAACTACAAAATTTAATGCACTGAATCAAGAAGAAGAAAACAAAATTCTGTTTTTTAATTGCATTTCACTGGTGTTAGCACCGACTATATCATTACAAACTGATAATGCATATTTTTTTATTCCCACGGTTTATAGGTGCTTCAAATACACTACCAATTAAAACTAATAGCATAGTAATGTTTCTCGATGATAATCCAACATCACACACGGGCACAACGATCAACCCACAAAGCAACGTTTTTACGACTTAACGAACAGGTTAGCAGAGCCTGTACTAGTGACGCGCGCTTGACGTAGCTGTGTATATTAGATGAACTATCTAGAATTAAAGCAATATATATTACCTAAACTAATAGCGCTGATTCAAGTTCAAGGAAAATGGAGAAAAATCCCGTCAAATGACCAGATTGTTTCCATTTAGAACCAAAAGAAAATAATAAATCTTCCATCTTTTGTTCAGAAATAACTATTGCACTGTCACAATCGATGATCTATTTTTTAGATATAATTCATCCTACCTACAAAAAATCTACACTAGGCTACAGTCCAGCCTACATTTAACAAGCTTTGCTTAACGTACAAACAGATTCTTAATAATGAGTCATGAAAATATTGATTAATTAACTTGGTATTTGTGTAAAACACCAGGTCTAAAAAAATTGAAAAAATATCAACAGAAGACAAGTATATATGTAAACAACTATGAAAGGCTATGGTTTGCAGAGATAAACTATAGAAAACAGCGCGATATGAATGTCAAAAAATAACAATGAATTCTCAGTAGAATCGCGATCCTGTATCACAAGTGGAGCGAGCAGGTACCACTAAAACTCTAAACAAAATTCCCGACAATTTTTATAGATGGAAGATCGCAGACGTACCTACACAAAGAATTACCCTACACATAATCCATACTTTTCATTCAAAAAAATGTCAAACTTTGGGTTTTGCTGATACCCAAAGGGTGTTGGTAAAATCTGTATATTATCGGCATTGTGGATTTTGTTAAACAAACATCTTGTATGGTACCAATTAAATGAGCAGGCCACTGTACGAGCAGTTGCATCTTTGGCCCTATAGCTGAGGCTGGGAGGACCTTTACAAAAAATCAGCTCCCTGCTTTCATGATGATTTTGTTATTGATTTCATGGAGATTTAAGTGGAAACTTGTTAATAACCTAACTCGGCAACTACTAATTCATAAATAACCAAGACCAGACGAGGTTTAGCTGTCCGTGAACCGCGGCTCCCGCTTCTCCACGAACGCTGTCATTCCCTCCTTCCGGTCGTTCTGCGGCGGCATAACATCAATCAAAACTTAGCGAAATGTGAGAAGACTATTTTGCCTCAAACGATGAGACAATATTTTTTAATCATGACGACAAGTGAAGTAGGATTAGGTCATAAATCTCTAACTTGCCTTTACTCAGATGACATGACGAGAGTAAGTAGGCAATCAATTTAGATTTGATTCATTTATATACCTAGGAATAATTTTAGCGTCGAACTGCCATTGACCTACTAAAACAAGTTCAGTCACAGTTTTGCAAAAGATTTAATAACTGTAGTAAAGACAAATACCGCAACAAATGCTTTAATCAGTTGAACGGTTCTTTCAGTAAAATATCAGCGTTGAAGAAACAAACAGAAAAAACTAGTAAAATTAAAAAAGATGCCAATATTGAATAATGACTAAGTCTACAGCTCTCTCGAATCCCTCTATAAATGACAATCGCAGATTTAGCAAGAGGCACATTTGCATTAGTGAACATAATTCACTGGTAGGAACAGCAGTCACTGGCAACCAAAACTTGTTACCATATACCCAACTCAATAGAAATGCATCAGACAAAAGAAAACATAGCTACGTACCCAAAAACATGAATGCATTTATTTCGTTTGTTCATCATTTCATGTTCTTGTGCGCAATCGTGCAATCAATATAGATGTAAAAAATGTGCCTGATTTTCCCCCGTGAAGTTTGAGCCATAACCTCGCATGTCAAGTCCTACAACGAAATGCGACAGTAACTTTCCTAAAGGCCCTCTAGTACCTACAAGTAACGAATTCAGAGTTTTACATTGGGCCACGTCCTGAATACTCACGGTAGCGAAGGTGGAGTAGAAAAGTTGCTTCTCGACTCTCAGGCCTTCAGTCAACGACAGATCGTACGCTACAACAAAAAAATTTATATATTTCAGTACGGCCGTCAATTTTGAAGCAACTACCTATTATAAATATTTACAAGTGAAATATTTATGTTCTCTCATAATGAATAAATACTCTGATACTGACAACTGTTCATCTCATGATGTCTTCAAATGTAACGAGAAATAAATAACCTGTGTATAGACAATACCGGCAGTTTTTCAGCGTTCATGTTGAGCTGAAGGTTGATAAAACTCTAATTTACACATTGAATTCGCAGAAAAATAAATCTGAGAAGCATTGAATTTTCCGATCTATCTATCGTCAATAAACAATTTGCACTAGAAAAGTATTGCCTATATGCTTCAACAATGACATCCATAATTGAGTAAATGGAATCCAGACACAATTGAAACAAAGAAGCTCAGCTGCTCAGACATATACCTACACAGCAGCACATACTATATATATATAGACTACACAGCAGCACAAAACCCCAAACCTCCGTCGTTATGACAATATGTATGGGCTAAAAATGTCCTAAGTGCAGCGCTGATTGCCAAGCTTCACTGATAATATGACATCAATAGAAATGACTCACTAATAAAATTTGACAACGACTGGCCATTAATTCAACAGTAACAAGAAATATACGGTAAAACATGATAGGCAATAAATGAAGCTAAAAAAAGCAAGGCACATTTACGAGGCTCACATTTATTGATAGCTTCTTTGCATATCTGGAGAGCTACTTTAGACTTGGAAGCAATTTTCTCTCCCAATTTGACGGCCTCGTCAACGAGCTGGTCTGGAGGGTACACCGCGCTCACTAACCCTGCGGTGGTATATTTAATTAATGTAAAGGTACATACTATATTATGTGATATACCAAGCGTGGGGGATATATAAGAAGAATCAAAATGAAAAACTAATACATCAATCAATTTATTTACTAACTGGATAATATTTGCACTTGTGAATGAGCTCATTACGCATGGGCAGCTAGAAGCAAGTTTCAACTGTACTAAAACGAATGCAATGTGCTGAAGAAATGATGCTAACTTTGAGAGTTTAATGTTAATCGCAAGCATGATTAGGATTAAGGGACTAATGTTAGGAATTACAAGACTTACCCCAGTCACAGGCCTGTTTAGCATTAATCATCTCGCCCGTGAGACACAACTGCATGGCACGGCTCTTGCCGATTGCTCGAACCAGACGCTGTGTGCCACCAGCTCCAGGAATTGTGCCCAGGTTGATTTCCGGTTGCCCGAATCTAGGAGAAATTATACATTTTAGTCAATGCTATACATAACATGTTGTTTAATGTAATTAGTCTTGATTTCACATGATTTAGCAGTGAATGTAACCTAGAATTGTGTAGTTGCAGTAAGTATTTGCACTAGAAAAGTATTGCCTATATGCTTCAACAATGACATCTATGGTAATCGAGTAAATAGAATCCAGACACAATTGAAACAAAGAAGCTCAGCTGCTCAGACATATACCTACACAGCAGCACATACTATATATATATAGACTACACAGCAGCACAAAACCCCAAACCTCCGTCGTTATGACAATATGTATGGGCTAAAAATGTCCTAAGTGCAGCGCTGATTGCCAAGCTTCACTGATAATATGACATCAATAGAAATGACTCACTAATAAAATTTGACAACGACTGGCCATTAATTCAACAGTAACAAGAAATATACGGTAAAACATGATAGGCAATAAATGAAGCTAAAAAAAGCAAGGCACATTTACGAGGCTCACATTTATTGATAGCTTCTTTGCATATCTGGAGAGCTACTTTAGACTTGGAAGCAATTTTCTCTCCCAATTTGACGGCCTCGTCAACGAGCTGGTCTGGAGGGTACACCGCGCTCACTAACCCTGCGGTGGTATATTTAATTAATGTAAAGGTACATACTATATTATGTGATATACCAAGCGTGGGGGATATATAAGAAGAATCAAAAAGAGATAGTAGGTAATACATCAATTAATTTATTGACTAACTGGAAAATATTTGTACTTATGAATGAGCTCATTACGCATGGGCAGCTAGAAGCAAGTTTCAACTGTACTAAAACGAATGCAATGTGCTGAAGAAATGATGCTAACTTTGAGAGTTGAATGTTAATCGCAAGCATGATTAGGATTAAGGGATTAATGTTAGGAATTACAAGACTTACCCCAGTCACAGGCCTGTTTAGCATTAATCATCTCGCCCGTGAGACACAACTGCATGGCACGGCTCTTGCCGATTGCTCGAACCAGACGCTGTGTGCCGCCAGCTCCAGGAATTGTGCCCAGGTTGATTTCCGGTTGCCCGAATCTAGGAGAAATTATACATTTTAGTCAATGCTATACATAACATGTTGTTTAATGTAATTAGTCTTGATTTCACATGATTTAGCAGTGAATGTAACCTAGAATTGTGTAGTTGCAGTAAGTATACTAAAATTGAGTTAGATTGTTACGCACTTGGCTTTCTCTCCAGCCAGGATGATGTCAGCCATCATTGCAAGCTCACAACCTCCACCAAGAGCGTAGCCGTTGACGGCAGCAATGACAACGCGCGGGCTTGAGCTCACCCTGTCCCACCCGCTCAGGAAGTTATCCTTATAAACCTGAACGAAGTTTCTGGTTTGCATCTGTTTGATGTCAGCTCCTGTAGGGGGTGGTACGGCGACACTTGTGTGGTTGTCTTTATTGCTCGGTTGACGAATTCAAACAATTCATTTGTTCAAATACTATCAATGAAAGTAGGTACTACATATATAAGATTTCTATGTCAAGATAAAAATTTGCATGTATGAAACTCAAGAATGCATAACATTGATGCTCAAGTCAAATTAAATAAATTAAAATGTACCTACTATATAAGTTCCAAAATAAGCAATATCAAACGTTGATTGTTATTTTTGTGTCTAAGTCAACTTTATAAAACTAGTGGTTTTGTCTAAAACAATTGCCTGCTCTGTGCTATAGAAACAAGTAAACATTTTGAAGCATTGAAGATCATGTGTTAGACTAGCATCACAAGCAATTACATCCTACATCAGGAATTAAAGATGAGGCATAATATCAATACCAGCAGCAAATGCCTTTTCACTGCCAGTGATGACAATGGCAGCAACATTGGGCTGAGCCTCTGCCTCAGCAATGGTGCAGTTCAGCTCCTGCATGAGCGGGTCGCTGAGAGCATTGAGAGCTTTGGGGCGATTGAGGGTGATCACGGCCACACAGTTGTTGGCGCCTCTGTAGTCCAACAGCAGGTATTCCCGCTTGGGTGCTGAACATGAAATAAGTATTAAAATAATGTCAGGTAGCAGAACTTATTTGTTTATCATGTTAAATTAGTGACCAGTGAATGCATTATATTGATATAATATAAAGATGGATTAAACATACAGTAGATCTATTTAAAAGCTTCTTTAAATTCTGTTCAAACTACCAGTAATGGGTACGAATATAGAAGATTATGAATGGAGTAGCAAATTTATTAGGATCTTTCTTTTTTATGGGAAAGCATCTCTGTTTGCCAACTACCATACTAATTCATGCCAAATTCTACTTGAAAATAAAAATGCTCTTTCTTATTGGAGTTTTTCTAGAAAAAGGTGAAAGAAAGCACATTTACAATTGATCAGAATCGTCCTGTATATTCAACTTGTCCTGTACATTCATTCCTAAACTACTATACATTCCTGAATGAATATTTTTATTAAGATAATCAGTTGTTTTCAATCATACATAGTTAAATGACTTGGATCAAACACAGAACTCACCTGATGACATGAACTTGACTGCATTGCCAAGCACAAATCTATTGGAAATGATGGGCCGCATCATAATAGATGCTCTTAGTGAGCTACTGGCAACTAACATTTTGCTTGACAGAAAAGATACCATTATAAGAATATGGCTTATACTTTTAGCTGGAAAGAAAAATAAAAACATTACCTACTAAAACAAAACCAGTACTTAATGAAGAGAATTTGAGGCAACAAATATTTAGGATTAAAACTTTACCAACTGGTTCATAGTTTTATAAATTAGGTTGTACATAATAAGAAGGGTAATTAACTGAAATTTTTAGAAAAAACCTTTATCGTACAGAACCCACTAAATTATTTCACTGGAAATCAACTTGAAGGCAAGTACATAGGCTAAGTTGAATTTAGATGAATATTCACATCACATTCAAGATTTTTATTTATTCCAGAATAATTTATTTTAATGTGTTGTCAGTGACAAACTGGCAAGCTATTTCCTGTATTGTTGGTTAGTTACAATTTGGAAAATGCCAACCTAAACTTCTGTAAAATATAAATATATCAAGCAAGCTCTCAGCATGCCAGGATCATGATGACAATTGAATCCAAAACAAAAATTTAATAAATCAGATGGGAAATAAGAGGTAGCATGACTCCAAAAAATAGATAGGAGTTTTTCTTTGAACCAGAAAAATTGCTTCCTTGAAAGCATTGACTCAATATTTACAAACAATGTGTATTAAAAATCAATCTAACTATAATGCAAGAAATTTAAAAAAGAATAACAATTTGTTTTTTTAGTTAAATTGCCTCTAAATGTAGAGGAATTTTTTTTTCTATTTCCAGGCATAATCAACAATTTTTAAAGTGCTATAAATGAGTCATGAGTGTGCACTGTGAAGCTCATGTAATTTAGTCATGACTAACTGGCTCAGACATCTTATTCATGACCATCACATGCCTGAAATTAAATTCCAGTCATGGCTGATGAAGTGATTGTAGGCAAGATTCCATTTCATGCAGCTGAAAAGGATCATTAAAGGAGCAATCAACTTCCTCATTCAGGACTAATGCCAGTGGAAGATTTACCATCAAATGGGGTAACAAGGGGTGATTTTAAGTGTTTTTCATTAATAACTTCTTAACATGAAACACTTCATAAACAAATTTGTGCTCATTTTAAAGGTCTATGCAGAGGCTGTTGCCGCCGGCTGTTGCATGGCGTCTCCAAAAAAAATTGTCATATGCTATTCATTAGGTGCCAGGGCCCAGAGGCATAAGAAAAGTGTCCCAAGTAACCCCTGGGAACAGAGTAATTTGGGACACTTGAAATAAAACTTAATTTTAAAATGTTTGAAGCATGCAGAGTGTAGGTATTCATCGTACTAACAGCCTAACAGATCCGTGAAGTCCTCCTCTTTCTTTGTACCTAGTTTGTAGACGAGTTGATGACTGATGTAGATGTTGAATAAATGAAATTTTCTGTGATTTGTACTTGTTTTTACAACACTTCTCTTTAACTTCACTTCTTGTTTGTTTGACTGTCGGTCTGTCTGTCTGTCTGTCTGTCTGCTACAAATATTATAATCAAAATTTAACACACTTCTACTTATCCTATCGATCTGAAATTTGCACACTTGCGTAAAGTTGGAGACAATGCACAAATCAAATGACAAAATAAATGATTTTGAAAATTAAAAAAAAATTCAATATTAAAAAAATTGGAAAAATAATTTTGTCAGCTACACATCTTATAACTGATATTTGACACACTTTTACCTGTCCAATTGACCTGATATTTTGTACACTTGTGTGAAGTTGGAGGCAATGCATGAATCAATTGACAGAATAAATAATTTTGGAAAAAAATTATATATTAAAATGAATTGAAAAATTAATTTTTTTAATATTCAAAAATAAAATCAAAAATTCATTGTACATCTGTAACATTGGAAACACTGGATTCTTAAGAAGTGTTGTCTTTAAATAGTAATTTTTAAACGTATATCATTCCCTTATTGATATAATGATATGATATTAGGGTAAATGCGGTAGGTATATTCCGACACATTAAGGACGCATCGAGAAATGAAAAACTATAAAAAAATAACCGTATGGGTTACTCAAGTTCTGTTTGCTTTATGTGACTTGCAAAACACCGTATTACGCGCCAGCAATGATGAAACGTCACAAATTGTTGCCATATTTGTTTAAAAGCCTTTAGAATGCAAACCTACCAAATTCCTATATTCTGACACTCTGTGTGGCTATATTCGGCACGTGGTGAGACGTATTCCGAACGCGCTTCAAATTGTACTAACACGTAATTCCGACATCCACGTGTTCGAATTCCGATCGCTGTGTGAGCTGTATTGGAATACGACATGGCTTTGAATTAGAACACTATTGAATATTGAGCACTACTTAATTAGGCTTTTAATTAACAGTTATTAAGCTTTTAATCAAGAAATTTTAATTTTTACATGCAGCTTGGAACGAGCTGTGTGTGTCCAATTCAAGTTGTGTCGGAATTAGATTTTATGTGTCTAAATCCGTTTCTCAACTTAATCATCTATTAATTTATTTACCACTTGAAATCAGCAAATACAAGTTATTAACAAATAACAAGTATACTTAAAGTTCTCCTAATATATTCACATACATATTTAAAAGTCTCAAACCATAATTTTCTTTCTACACAAACAGTTTATCACTATTTGGTAGAGCAAGGTCAACTGTCAACTTTGACACATTTTTCGATGATCTCATTGGGTGGCATGCACCGTCTCTCTTTGGATCTCAACATTTTCCCACTAGATGGCCCAGACCTAGTGTTTTGGCAGTAGTTTGACGTGCAAATGTATGACGTCACTATTTCAAACAACCATCAACGAACGCATGGAACTAAACCAAAGCTTAATATAAAGGAAAAACTAGAGAGGTGTCGGAAATTCGGAATTACCCACGATGTCGGAATATACCGCGTTTACCCTACCATATCCATACATTACTGAATTTGAATTATATTATTGATGTGATATTACCATATCCATTCCATGGCACCATCATCATGAACATGCCATGATGCCATTGAGCATTGACAACATCCTAAATTCCTTATCCACTGTAAACTTCACAAAGTTCACATCAGCAGCCATAAAGCATTTCTTATGTATCTGTAATGTAAGGCATATAGTCAAATGGGGTAAGACAGGATCGCAGCCTTCATGGGGTAAGAAAGGACCAGCCCATATCATGCATTCTAATTGTACTGAATTTAATTTGATAGAAGAATATGTTAGAGCAATCATTGCCTGTCATTTCAGTGTTTGTGGCAACCCTCTTCTGCAAAAAATGAATTTCTGGCTAATTTTTAAAGAAAACTTATGTAAAGAAGGGTCACAAAATAGTTAACCCTGTTTGGGAAATAAGCTCTAACGTCAATTTCGAGGGGATATGAACTGTTGGCGGCATTTAAACTAGGCTTTTGTTTATAAATATAAATTTGTAGCATTTATATAATAATTTGTATTTTGAGCTCAAAGGAATCAGTACCTGATTTGCTCACGAACATACATGCAAATCGAATTCCAAATTCCCCGAGTGAAGGTAACAATATGGGCTTATTAATCATTATCAGTCTTCACGCACTCATGGGTAGTTACTACGTGGTTCATATAGAAAATTTTTTTACATGCTTGGATTTGTATTATTCTTATATTTGCTCGTGTCACTGCCTGCGTGTTGCTCGTATCACTGCCCTCGCGTTGCTCGTGTCGATCACTGCCCGCGTGTTGCTCGTATCACTGCCCGCGTGTTGCTCGTATCACTGCCCGCGTGTTGCTCATGTCACTGCCCGCGNACATCACTCATGACACATCACTCATGACACATCACTCATGACACATCACTCATGACACATCACTCATGACACATCACTCATGACACATCACTCATGACACATCATTCATGACACATCACTCATGACACATCACTCATGCCACATCACTCGTACTATTTATCCACGAATATTGTTTTTATCAGATTTTCCATACCATGCGCGATCTTTGTTCATATAACGCACATATATATCAATTATCAGACTTATTTGACAACTGACACGATTTTTAAGAATTCATGAACAGTTAAGATATTTTATCAGGAACAGGAGGATATTCAATTTTATTATGTATTTTTTATTTTAACTCATTTTTTAAACAAAATATGGAATTATAAATACTTTTCTTTTCCAAATATTATTTTGAAATATTGTTATTTATTGCAAATATAGCCTTGCTATATTTGCTTGTTTAATTACACAGTAATAATACTTATATAGCCATGTCTTAATAAACAGTAACCAAATAGCATAACACGTGTCATAAAATAGCAAAAGGAATTTAAAAGCAAAGAAAAGGCCAAGAAAATTCACCATATCGATATTGAAAACGTTTCGGAGTCCGTTTTATGTCAGTCTTTGAATTTTGACTTTTAAAGTGATTTTATTCATTTTTAGTTTAGTCGAACTGATGATGGAGCTGGACTCCGAAACGTTTTCAATATCGATATGGTGAATTTTCTTGGCCTTTTCTTTGCTTTTAAATTCCTTGTGAACTTGCGATATAAGCAGACTAATGATATAAGTACTTAAAGTACCAAAAGTATCGTAAACCTCGTTATTTATCCGCCTATAAAAACTGCATCGAAGACCAACCACATCCATTATTTTCTCCTGATTAAATTTTCGTTACATATTACCGGAAAGTGCACAAGGCGAGTGAAACATTTGAAAACCCGAACCGCAATTTAGAAGTGAATGAGTTGGGATCTTTGACGTTGTGGATCCGGTTGAATTATAATTCTTTCAATTATTTTCCTATTAAAATGAATGATGCGTTTCATGGTGAGCATTTCCAAGAGATTAGTCTGCTCATATTGCAGTCGTTAAAGGGCGTGCACTCCCTGTACGACAGCCTTTGAGGAGCTCAACTTTCTATGTCAGTGTGGACAAAAAGGTAACACTATGTTGAAAGCAATGCACGCTGTCTTTCTATTCGAACTACCCCCGCAGAAACTATATTACGGTGTTGAGAGCAACGAGCATTGTCTTTTTATTCCCAGTCAATACATATAGCCACAAGCATTTTCTAACCACAATTACCTAATGGG